TAACAGATCTGGCGTTCAGCAGCACCACCTTCAATCCAGAGGGCCCGCTCACCTGGTTACACCAATTTACCTAATGGCCTACCGGTAATCAGAAGTCCCAGAACAAGATGATCTCTGCCGAAGTTCTATTGTTTTGGCCTACAGACCTCCAGCACAGAGTGTCTACACTACTTTAATCCTTAGCTATTGCAGCTGGCTGTGCAGGAGCCAAGGATGAAATGTCCTTCTCGGCATGCGACCCCATACTTCTCTGTATGCAGCCGTATACGGCCACATGTCATTGAAAATGGCTACGCGTGTCAGTGCTGATACGCATGTCATTGCTTCACCATTATGAATCTAGGCCAACCCCATCCTCCTTTCCTCACCATCAATGCATAAAGCTCTTTCTTTTTGCATGTGGAGACTTCATTCAAGGAGGCGAGGGACTCGCAGGTCTCGGCCAGGCCACCCTTCAGTTCAACCAGGCCTTGGAAAAACTGGGAGACTTTCACATCCAAGTGGTAGAACTGTGCATTAAGACAGTGGACAGCCGCATCCAAGCTGTTCAGACAAGGGATGGGGGAGGAAAAAGAAGGCACCATATAAATTGTGAATGTTCTTGAAGAAGGCGGAGGGTGCATCTACGCTGTAGAATTATAGCGGCTTGACAGCACTTAACCGCTATGGCCCAATGCTGTGGAACCGGGGGAGTTGTAGCTGGATGAGGTACCAGCACAATTTGGCAGTAACAGCTAAAGACTTGATAAAGGTACACCTTCCATGAGCCATGACAGTTAAAGTGATCTCAAACGGCATTGATTCTATAGAATAGATACAGCCTGAAACAGAAGTCGGGGGGGGGGGGGGGACTATAGTGTGAAAAAAATGAACAAATTCCTATGCATACTGCACAGATTTCATTTTGTAGTGTGAAGAAACATGAACAAACAATCAATCTTTAAAATGAAGAACAATTTTTTGTTGTCTCTCTTCAAGTCATTTCAGACTTAGTGCAATCCTAAGCCTAAAGTTTAGTACAGGGAGTGGATAAATGACTTCGGAGGGCCACATCTGGCCCGCAGGCCTTAGTTTAGGGATCCCTGCTCTAAACAGATTTTGCAATGCAGAATCCACACAATAAAGGTGTACCAAACTGTGCCTCTCCGGATTTGCTTCCAAATCAAGAAAAATGCATGTAACTCTCTTCCATCTCTTAAGGATACAGATGACATAAGGGAGACATTGGTCGGTAATTCTTGGCGTTGGAGGCATCTTTACCAGGTTTTAAAATGGCAATAACCTCAGTTTTCCTCCATCGTGTGGGAATGTTTCTGTGCCAAGCATTGATTGTAAACGGCTGCTTCCACTGTTTAACACTATTGAGATATCGCAATCTAACGTTCTCAGACTGTATAAATGGGAAAGTATCCATCAGTACTGGATAAACAGGAACCAAGGTTAGATTCACTGGAACTGTATATTGGCAGCCCACCTATAGCTCCATTAACAACGCACATTGAAGGGTTGGGCCCAGCCTCCAAGGAGTTCCTTTGCCAAGAGTCATTGCCTGATGTAAGCCGCCCTGAGTCCCCGTTGGGGGAGATGGTGGCGGGGTATAAATAAAGTTGTTTATTATTATTATTATTATTATTATTATTATTATTATTATTAAGTGCTGACAATATATTCATCTTTTACATCCATCACAAGGTCAGTATTACTTTTTTTTTCAATCAGAGGAAACAACAATATCCGAAAATCAAGAGATCCCTTGCCCTGCCCTAAGCCCCTTACCTTAAAGGAGATTGACACCAGTTTAAAATAATAATAATTATTATTATTATCATTATTATTATTTATATTCCGCCCTATCTCCCCAAGGGGACTCATGGCAAGTCACAGTACACATTGTCGGGGCAAAGACAGACAGAACAAAAAGGAGGCATGTTGTGTTGTGTTGAATCTGGCTTTTTGGTACCTTTGGGAGTTAGGCTCGAATCCAGCCACAGGGGGGTGCTGTCGCTCCACCCTCTATGACAAAGAGCCATCAGGACTTCCTCCTTCCTTCTGGTCCCTGGCATTTTCTGATATTTTTACTTTATGGTGTTGTAAAACCACTTTTTTCTTGGGATCTTGTGGTTCTGTCCCAAATCACAGAGGATGCATGAGAAAGTGATCAAAGCTAAAACCATTGCTTTCCATGGGATCCATGCCGGCTCCAGGTGATTTATTGCTGTTTGGTGTTTGATTGTTTTGGCAATGAGTGTTTGCCACTTGGTTCTTTTGTCTGTAAACCACCCTAAGTCCCTTTGGAGAGATAGGGTGGTGTATAAATAATGTATTATTATTATTGTTGTTGTTGTTGTTATTATTACTGCTGGCCCCTGGTCAGAATTCCCTCCTTTCAGAAGATATTGGCCTTTTTCCAACCCTGGAACATTTTTTGAGCTCAGTGCTTCTCCATGCTAGGAAAGAGGCCGGGGTATCCTGTCAAGGGGAAATTTCTCAATGTGAGGAGGTGGTTAGAGGATGAACCATCCTCTCTCAACCTCAGAGAAAGGCCACGGAAAAGCTCCCTAAGGAAGAGGAGGGTCTAACCCCCCCCCCCTCAGCCCTGGATGGAGTTGGGAAGGGCACACACTCTCTGCCTCAGAGGAAGGCCATGGCCAAGCTCTGTAAGGAAAAGTGACTGAGCACACCCTCTCAGAGGATGGGACCCCCAAACCCCCTTTCACTATCCCTCCTGCCGCATCACAATCACAGCCAGGCCCCCTCCCTCACAACCTCTCCTCCTTGTCATTTCAGTCTGCAGCCTATTGAAGGATGCCTGTGATATCGATATCTTCATCACCAAGGCGGCCCATATGGGCCCCTGGAGAACGCGGAGCTCAAAGGGCAGCTGAGAACCGGGCCCTAATTTGGGCCCGGAAAACAAATGAGTTAGTGGCCCGCAAAGAGCCCCAGGTTTTGCAGCCCCGCCTGTTCCCCGCCCTGGGGGAGCCCAACCCAGGCGGGAGCAGGCCGGGGCTGCCTCGCACCCAGCCCAGGAAACAGGGCCCCCTCCAGCCTCTCCTCCTGGGCAGGAGGAGGGAGGCACCAGAGACTATAGTAGATGTAGGCGGGGCCAAGACCAGGGGCGGGCCACAAAAAGGGAGGCGGCGTGAGCAGGGACCTCTCCGGGCCCTCCTGGCGGGGAGAGAGGCTGAGGAGGGGACACTGCCGGTCCTCCTCCTCCCCTCCCCCGAGGCCCCTCCTCCCCGCCCAACCAACAACTGGGGCCCGGAGGCACGATCCCTGCTCCCGGCAATCCACCAGCCCGCCGCCACTCCCACCCCGCCCTGGACCCCGCCGATGACCCCGTCCAACCTCTTCTGGTAAGTAAGTAAGCATGCGCAGCATTCCCCCTCCCCCTCCCCTTGCTGATGGGGTTTCCTTTTTCACATGCAATGGGAGGGACCTTGGGTTGCTGTAGGTTTTTTTCGGGCCATGTTCCAGAAGCATTCTCTCCTGACGTTTCGCCCACATCTATGGCAGGCCTCCTCAGAGGTTGTGAGGTCTGTCAGAAACTAGGAAAACAGGGTTTATGTATCTGTGGAATGTCCAGGGTGGGAGAAAGAACTTGTGTTTGTTGGAGGCAAGTGTGAATGAAGCAATTGGCCACCTTGATTAGCATTTAATGACCTAGCAGTTTTCAAGGTCTGGCTTCTTATTGCCTCGGGGAATCTTTTCTTGAAAAGTGATTAGTTGTCCCCAGGGCCGTAGCCAGAAAAAATTTCGGGGGGGGGGGTGTCAGGGGGGGGGTGAAACCTGCCTCCTAGCTCACGCTGAAGCAAAGAGCACAGCAGGGGGCAGAGCAGCCTTCAATAGCCTGCAGCTCTGCCCCTGTCAACCACCTTTTTTTTTTTATTCCAGATGATCCCGGTGCTCAGAACCAACCACTATTTCACTCAGTGGAAAAAAGACATGATGAACTTCGTGTGGTGTGGTAAAAAGGCTAGGATGGATGCTCGGGAGAGAGGTGGCTTCGGCTTACCAAATTTACAGTCCTACTACGAGGCCTACGCACTGTCCTGGGTTAAGGAATGGTCTACACTAAAAAAGAAAAAACTTTTAAATCTAGAGGGCTTCAATATTAGGAGAGGATGGCATGCGTATTTGTGGCACAGCAAGGTGAAAATTGAAAAGAACTTCTCAAATCACTTCATAAGAGCTGCCTTACTGAAAGTGTGGGAGAAACACAAGGGGAGACTATATAGCAAAACACCTCTCTGGCTGTCGCCCATCGAAGCCTCCCATAAAAGAGAAATGCCAAGTGAAAGATGGCATACTTACAAAGTACTATTGGAAAGAAAAGAGAATCAATGGAAATTAAAATCTTTAGAGTCATTGAGGGAAACGGATGAGAATCTCTCATGGTTCCACTACATGCAAGTAGCCGACTGTTTCAAGGAGGATCGGAAAAAGGACTTCTCCTCGCAAGAGACATTTTGGGATACAATAATGGGGAAAGACAGAAAAGTAGTGAGAGCTCTTTATCAGAAGTTGCTAGAATGGGAGACAGAAACAGAAACAGTCAAGGAGAACATGATCACATGGGCTGTCGATTTTGGTCACACCATTTTGCTTAGTGAGTGGGAAAGTGTATGGAGGGGGAAATTAAAATTTGCAAAATCTGCCAACATAATCAAAAACTGGCAAAAAGTCTTCCACTGCTGGTACTTAACCCCTCAAAAATTAGCAAAATTCTACAAAGGAGTAAACAGTGATTGCTGGAAGTGTGGCGCACAACTGGGCACTTACTATCACGCCTGATGGCAGTGCAAAAAAGTGAGGAAATACTGGCGGGAGGTTCACAAGGAAGTACAGAGAATTCTGCAGACCAAATTTGAATTAAAAGCCGAGTACTACCTGTTGCATTTACTAGATTTTCAGCTAGATCTTAATAAAGAAATGTTATTGTTTCATCTATCTACAGCCGCCAGAACAGCGTTGGCAAGTAAGTGGAAATCCAATGAACTCCCAACAATTGATACCTGGTTGTTAAAAATTAGAGACTTTATGGAAATGGACTCACTAGCGAATATGATATACGACACCAGCAAGAAAAGGATTGACTGGCATCCGCTAAGATTTTATTTAAAACAGAGAAAAAATATTGTTCTAGAGATTAGGGAAGGGGACTAGTCGAATCAAAAAAGAGTAACAAAGACAAAATTTTCTTTATATAACCCTGCAGATCCTTTAGGGAAGTTCAATAGTTGTATGTAACCCACTGTTTTTGTATATAACCCACTGTCCTGTCCTTCCCAACACTATTCCCCCCCCTCCCTAGCCACACTACCACCTCCCCCTCCCTCCCTTTTCCAAATATAGGGAATGTATATATTTCTACCTGTATGTTGTTAATGTATATGATGAAAGGAAAAATTTACAATAAAGATTACACAAAAAAAACCACCTCCACCAAGTCTGGCCTCCTTAATGAGAGCATTCAACACCCCCCACCCCCCCCCCCAACTTGATTGCTTCGCTACATGGGCTATTGCTGCAAGTAATGACAGTGTGAATAAATCAATATTTGCTTGAGATAGTGCTTGCAGTTCTGGAGGGACTCTTAATTTTTTGCGTCTCATAGACTTAGCATGGGGATTTGGTTAACCAGTTAAAATTCATGAGTAAACCAGGGGTTTTTTTTTACCTGAAAATTTGGGGGCAGGGGTTGGCCTTGATTGTTTGTCTGGAATTCCTCTGTTTTTCAGTGTTGTTCTTTATTTACTGTTATGATTTTAGGGTTTTTAAAAATACTGGTAGCCAGATTTTGTTTGTTTTCATGGTTTCTTCTTCCTTTCTGTTGGAATTGTCCACATGCTTGTGGATTTCAGTGGCTACATTCACACCTACCCTCAAGCAGACAAGAGTTTTTTTCTCCCACCTTGGACTTCCCACATATATATAAACTTCATTTTCCTAGTTTCTGACAGACCTCACAACTTCTGAGGATATCTGCCATAGATGCAAGTGAAACATCAGGAAAGAATGCTTCTGGAACATGGCCAGACAGTGCAAAAACACAACCTTGTTTTGTGTCCACAATTCCTATATCACCTGCATTCATGATTCCTACAAAGCAGTTCCCTGATCCACTTCCTTAGAGACAATTCATGCAAGGCAATTAGGTTTATCAGCTATTAGACCAATATACTTAGATATCTCTCTTTGAACTGTTAGAAACAAAGATATGCCAATGCACAAAAAACAGCAGAGTTTCTGTGCTGTCGTGTGCTGGGCCTAAGACAATGTCTGTTTATAGGACATGCTTTCTGTATGCCCAATGGGACACCGGGGTGCCTCAGCTAAAGGGTCCCTTAGGTTTTCCAATTCTGAAGAGGCTCAAGGTAAGTCCAACAAAGTTCTTTATTAAGGCTTAAATCTTCAAACAAATGAATAAAATGCCATATAATCTTCTAAAACTAGTAGCTTTCTCGATCTGCTGACAAGGGACAGGCAACTGTTCCTATCTTCTTTAGGGAAACCTTCCGACCCCTCCTTGGGCAATCTTTCTTAACCCTGCTGGCGTGAGGCCCCAACTCCCGGCTCCAAGCTGCAATATGGATAGCTCGAGTGGTCCCTTACCAGGCAATGGTTGTTGCAGATCTGCCAAGCTGGTGTCTTTTAGCTTCTCCACGAAGGCTGTGGAACTCTTGCTTTACTCTCCAGCAAAGCTGTAGAGATTTTCCTTTTCCCCCAGCAAAACCTGGCTGTAGTTCTATATCTTTGGCCCGGCAGAGCTTGCTGTAGATCTGTTTCTTTAACCCCAGCAAAGCTGGCTGTAAACCTAAATCTTTTACCCTGGCAGAGCTGTAAGAAGCGAAGCTTTTTACAGGTGGGGTAGAGAGAAACCCACACATCCTACTGTAAGCCTTCAAACTGTGAGACGGAACTGAAAGTCCCCTTTTCCCTCCAAAACCTGGGGAAAGGGGCAGATCTAAAGGCTCTAATGATGATTGATAGCTTATTGGCCCTATGATTGCAACCTGGGGAAAGCTACCCAATTGCAAAATGCATGGCCCAGATGAAATTCAAACAAACCAACAGTGCAAGAAAACAAATTCAGCTGTGCCAGCACAGTTTCAGAATTGTTATTTCAGTTGCCCAAAAACATATACTCTCCCTTGAAACATCTTGGTTTAAATCATGCTCTCAAGAGACCAGGTCTACACAGCAGAGCATTGTATTTCCCAGGGGTGAGCCAGATGTTTTAATGGAAAGCCTAAAAGATGGAACAAGGACAAAGCACATGTAGCTCAAGCCATGGCCAAGGCTCTTGTCTGTAGTGTGAATCACACCAAGCCAGTCTTTCCCAAGCCAGTGCGGTATGTGATCCGCACTTCCAGCATTTGTTTTGCGCTTTCTTATACATTAGTCCTAGTTTCTGAGGTGTCATGTACCACCTATAGAAGATCAATAAAGAAAACAGATTGGAAACCATATGACAAATACCTGACTGAACATTAAGAGAGGATTACAAGGAAATGTGGCTACAATTGAAACTAAAAAGAAAACTTTAAACTGAAGAAAAAAACAGAGCAAATTTTATTATAAGCAGGAGAGAAGTCGAAGGTATAGAAAAGAACTGAGATTTCTATTCCTACTTCACCAATGTATTTCCTGGCACACGTGGAGAATTAGTTTGGGAAGTCAAGATGTTCCCTCCCCTTTCCATAACACCACTCTCCCCTTTGTGTGTACCTCCTCCCCACATAAATAAGTCCCCATTCCTTCCCCAACCATGAGCCTTTCCCACCCCCATAACCTCTCCCCCTCCCTATTATCTATATTATATCTGTAGAACCAGAAAAGCATTCAATAAAATTCTATATTTAAAAAATTGTATTGGACTGCGGCCAGATTGCTAACAGGAGCTCCGTACAGGGAGAGATCCACTCCCATGTTGTGGCAGCTCCACTGGCTACTGGTCTGTTTCCAGGCTAAATACAAAGTGCTGGTCATTACCTTGACCCTAACCCTAACCCTAAACGGCTCGGGTCCAGTCTATTTGACTGATCGCATCTCGTCTCACAAACTAGCCTGGGCACTGAGGTCATCAGAGGAGGCCCTGCTTTTGGTCCCACCCCCATCTCAAGCACAGCTGGTGGGAACAAGAGGGCCTTCTCCGTGGTCACCCCCCACCTCTGGAACTCCCTCTCTAAAGAAATACAGTTGGCCACTTCCCTCCTCTCCTTTAATAAACAACTGAAGATCTACTTTTGCATACTAGCATATGGAAAGGAGGAGGATTAGACGGTTGAGAGATCATTGCCAAGCCTCTGGTTGAGAATTATTTTTATTTAGGCTTCACTTGTCCACACCAGCCTAACGATCACATAACCAACCCGCAGTCTTTGGTGAACCCTTGCTGGCTGTTGTACATTACTATGGATGTCTTGTTTAGATCTATATTATTATAGAATTTTGTTTGACTATGTGTAATTTAATTTATTGATGTCAAGTTTAAGTTACTGATGCTAGGTTTTGAATTTGATGTTAGGTTTTAATGCTATAATAGTGTCAATTGTCCTTTTTCTTTCTTCTTGACAGCCTGCAGGCACTCAAGTGAGACCACCTACCACTTGGGTGAGCTGAGTTTGGCTGTGGCCTGGAACCGCGTGGACATTGCCAGCACTGAGCTATTCCGTGTGACATTCTCTGGGATGTGAGTCTACAGGGGAAGGGACGGGAAGAAATGAATACTCTCTCCCCCTCACCCCTTTACTGCCCTCCCTAACGACATCCTTAATCTCTCAAGTTCTAAGTGTTGTTGCCCTTCTTCTTCAGAGAGAAGCTTGTGAGGAAGATGGGCCAAGAGAGACTTGAAATACCCTCTGCTTTGCATACAAACATATCATAAAAACAGTGTAAAAGGAGATGAATATTATACATTGGAGCTCCACACACGAGGCTTTACTCTGAGACAGAGATTTACCTCACACTGACTGAGTTCTCAACTGAGACAAACTAACACTAACAGGCTTTGGCCTACTCGCTCTTTCAGGGCTTGACTCACACTTTCGTAATCAATAACAACCAGTTAATATTTAATATTTCTGAACATGTTCACTGTTGTTGTAAATGAGAATTTTTGAAGTGAATGTATAAGGTTTAAAGAAAGTAGATATTAGGCTTGTTCGATTAAAACAATGGTTCAAAACCAGTTTCAGATGTAGGGGCCGCTGGTGGTTCGATTCGGAAATCAATTTTGATTTTCATAGAAAAAAATGTTCAAAACTTTGAAACTTCAGAGACTTCCAAATTCCAAATAATGGTTTGAAAGTGTTATTTCCTGTTTCATTGAGTGGTCTTTACTTTGAAAGTAGTTGCTTTACTCCAGAAAGGAGGGGAGCAAAGGGAGGAAATTCATCCACGCTGGTTTAAAATGCTTTCCAGACTCCAGGCAGAAGCGAGGGGAGAGGAGAGAGAGAAGAAATTCACCACTCTGTTTTAAAACGCTTGCCCAGCCTCAATGGTCACCCAGCCTCAATAATAATAATAATAATAATAATAATAATAATAATAATAAACTGGAATAGACCCCTTGGGCCATCTAGTCCAACCCCCTTCATTCTACCTTCATGCAGGGAATGCACAACAATAATAATAATAATGTGCGATGTACAGGGCTTGATGAATGCAAGGCTGAGGTAAAAATTGCTGGAAGAAACATTAACAACCTTAGATATGCAGGTGACACCACTTTGATGGCCGAAAGCGAGGAAGAGCTGAGGAGCCTTCTAATCAAGGTGGAAGAAGAAAGCGCAAAAGCTGGGTTGCAGTTAAACATTTCAAAAACCAAAATTATGGCAACCAGACTGATTGATAACTGGCAAATAGAGGGAGAAAAAGTGAAGGCTGTGACAGACTTTGTATTTCTAGGTGCAAAGATTAATGCAGATGCAGACTGCAGCCAGGAAATCAGAAGACACTTCTTGGGATGAGAGCAATGACCAATCTCAATAAAATAGTGAAGAGTAGAGACATCACACTGGCAACCAAGATCTGCATAATTAAAGCAATGGTATTCCCCATAGTCACCTACGAATGTGAGAGCTGGACCTTAGGGAAGGCTGAGTGAAGGAAGATAGATGCTTTTGAACTATGGTGCTGGACGAAAGTTCTGAGAGTGCCTTGGACCGCGAGAAGATCCAACCATTCCAAGAAATAAAACCCAACTGCTCATTGGAGGGAAGGATATTAGAGACAAAGTTGAAGTACTTTGGCCACATCATGAGAAGAAAGGAAAGCTTAGAGAAGAGAATGATGCTGGGGAAAATGGAAGGAAAAAGGTCGAGGGGCTGACTAAGGGCAAGATGGATGGATGGTATCCCGAAGGAGCTGGGGAGGTGACGGCAGACAGGGCACTCTGGCGTGGGATGGTC